TTTGCTTCTAGAAAAGGCAAGAATAATCATGCAAGAGTCTTCCAAAAAAGCCATTAGTAATGGTAATAAACATATAATTAATATAATGAAAATGATTTACTGGATGGCAAAAAAAGATATTCTAATTTCCAAACTTCCAAGTCATTAATCTTGGTCATGCTCTTCAAGTTCTTGATCTATTTTCTTTAAAATAATATTATTACAAATGAAAATAACAAATCTGGATGAGAGTTAATTAGAATCAATATCTGAATCTATTGAACTAGTTATTTGGAATGAATTGAAAAATTGTAAAGCATTTGGAGTTATGGTTGATGAAAGTACTGATATTTCCACAAATTCACATTTTATTATATATGTTAAGTATTGCTATAAGGGAATTATTAAAGTATGCTATCTTAAGCTTTTGCAAGTGGAAGAATCAAATGCTATAACACTCTATAATGTTATAATCAATCTTTTTGATAAAAATGGTTAGTTGTTTAACATTTATAATTCAATTCTATTATAATATTTTTTTGTAAATTAAAAGAATAATGTTTATATTTATAGATATTGTTAAAAAATTTGTTCATTTGCTTCAGATGGAGCAAGTGTAATGATGGGAAAAAATACAGGTGTAGCTACAAGAATTGCACAAATCAATCCTTTTCTTTATATTACACATTGCATTGCTCATATATTATCATTGGCATGTGGGGATGCTCAAGAACAAGTTGAATCTGTAAAAGTGTTAAAATCTGTCATGAAGAAAGTTTATTTATTTTTAGCAAATCAAGTAAATGTTGTGATTTATTGAAACATTATCAAAAATTTTTAGATCATCCTCTATTAAAAGTTAAACAGATCAATGATATTTGTTGGTTGTCCTGGTATGATGCTGTCAAAAATATTTGCTTATTTGTTGAACCATTACTTGATACAATTTTTGAAACTTATTCAAATGCAACACCTAAAAAAAAACCACCAATATTGAAGCTTTATCAAAAGTTACGCAATTGGAAAATATTAGCATTCTTTTATTTTCTTTATGATATTTTGGGATATTTGTCAAAGTTTTTCAAAATGGTTTATAAGATTTTCTGATTTTCAACCCATTATTACAAAAAATCCAACATGAATATTTAGAAGACAACCCTAGATTAGGATATAATTTAAGTAGATTTTTAACAAATGTTTCATCAACATCTTATCCTTACATTGGAATCATAAGCTTACTTTTAATAATGATTATGAAGATGATTTAATGTAGACATTTGTGAATTTGCATCATCAATAATCATAGAATTAAGGAAAGATTTCCAAATTCAAAAATCATTATCTGCAATAAAGATGGCACCTCAATTAATTGTAACTAATTGCAACATATAAAAATTGAATTGTGGTTGTGGTTGCAGTTGTGGCATATGAAAATTGAATTACGGCTAATTGCGGTTCCCATATTTAATCTGCAATGAAAATTTCTTAATCCTCAAGAATGGCTAAAAGACAAGGAATCTTTAATGCTTTATGGTGAATTAGAATTGGAAGAATTAGTTTCAGTTTATGGGAAAAAATATTTACCAGATTATCCTTTAGGTCTTATAGATTCTGTTGCTATTCAAGAAGAATGGTTTGGGTTTAAAATAGTGGTAGATTCAAATTATCAAGATTTAGCTATAGATCTTTATTATATGATAATTATTTAGATAGTTATCCAAATATCTTAAAACTTATGGAAATAGTGTACTCAATTCCATTTTCTAGTGTAGATTGTGAAAGAGATTTTAGCAAACAGAATTTTATCAAAACAGATTTATGTAATGCAATGGAAAATGACACATTGCACTTATTAATGATGGTTGGTTTAGAATGCACTGATTTATTTGGTTATGATTTTAGTGATGCTCTTAGTAAATTTCTTCAAAGTAAAAACAGAAGAATAAAATAAAGAAAATTTTTAAATTTGAAAAAAAATTTTAGCACCCAAAAAATTTTCTTCCGAAATATTTTTAGCATTCAGGAGTAACTTCCGTTTTTTTTTCAGACTTATTTCCAGCCCTGATTGTATTCAACCAAAAATTAAAGGCTTTGCTAAAATAAATAAATAAATTTTTTTTGGCTTGAACAGTCAGTCACCTTGGTCAAACTCCAAGTTTGCAGTCCAATCATATCATGTAAATTGCTGTAATCACACAGCCACCAATCTTCCATGTCGTCATCTTTGTATATTCGCTTCCATCTGTCCTTAGTATCAGTGAATATGAAAATAGAGAATTAATAAAACTTATGCTTCGTTAGAAGAAAAGAAAGAAGAACTACACCTAAACATGGATAGTTTCCTTTATGATTGTGTAAAGTATTTTATGACAAATAAGCTAATTGAAATTCCAAAAAAAATATTTATTATTAATTTAGATTGAATTAAATAAATAACAAATGAAAGAATATATAATGAATGTGAGAGATGATAAATATATAAATATATAGATATAAATATATTTTTATTCAAAATGTTTAAATAATATGATAAATAATAATTAGTTAGCACAATTAATAATCCAATATTAATACAATTATTATCGATGAAGCTTTCATAATCTTCTTGTACAAGTTTCTTTCTCGCATATCTTTTTCAGATAATCTTTGAAACTATGAATCATTTGAGGTTAAATTTGTTGTCGAATTAGAATTTGCATTATATTCATCTGAATCAATAACATTAACAGTTGTAGAATTCATGGAGGTTTTAGATGAAGATGATGATATTGATTGAAATGTTACTAATTTTGGATCTTTGGGCAACCCAGTTTGTGGATCAATATTATTTGATTTGAATTTCATCTGTTGCCTATACAGTCTAGCTTGATCAAAATTCAATCCTTCCCTTTTCATTATACGTCTAATTTCCGAGGCGTCATCAAGTCCTGATCGGTCGTCTCCATCCACAACATTTTGATGAAGGTCAAATGTTTCAGAGCTTAGACCATGTTCAATATCTTGTCGGAATGAATGAGTGGAAAAAATTGCTGGTAAACGTTGATATCGTTGATTTAATGATGGCCAATGTGTTAATATTTTTTGACGGTAACGGAATGTGGCTTGATATTCAAATGGAAGAATTTATTAGAATAATGGTTAGATGGAATTGGGTAGGAGGTGAATGAAGGGAGAGGGAAGAGAAGAAACAAACAGGTACGTTAATAAATTGTAAGAATTATTATTATTAAAATCAAATAAATACTTTATTTTTTTACCTATTAAACAAATTAAAATTAAAAGTAACAAGTAAAAAAACATTGTTTTCTTTTCTCTCCCCGGAGAGAGGCTTTAAAAATGGAATAATAAAAGAGTGTGAATTACGGTAAACTTCTTTTTTATTAAAAAGAAAAAAAATAATAAAATAAGTTTATATATAAATTTTTTTTTGCCATATAATACCGTGTAACAAAAAAAAACCGGAAATCTATTTATTTGTTTCTCAATAATGATTTAATGAAAATAAGAAAGCTGAAACAGAAGTTTGTTTCTATTAATATAAATTTTATATGAAACTTGTTTTTAAATTTGTTCCATTTAAAAATTCAATTATAAAAATCAGCAAATTCCCGATGCTTCAGGATTCTTCAGCATTTTACTCTTAACAAATTCGCCAAAAATTTTGATTGTTTCGATACATGAACATTGTTGAATAACATGTTTTTAAGTTGAATAAATTTTGAGCTTAAAATAATCGACCTTCAAAAATCCTATTTAAATTCAAAACAACATCTTAATCTTTGTGATAAGTTCATTATATATGGGCAATTATTGGCTTGCTAGAAAGAACAAGTTTTTTTGTTACACCGAGTAAAATAAAAAATTAAAAGCCAAATTGCACAGAGTCACATGAAATGATTAAATAAAGAATGCAGAAAGAAAAAATAATAATCAAAAGTATGAAAATTTAATAAAGAAAACTTTTAAATGAATCAGAATACTCTTCTGAACAATAAGCTAAAGTGTATTGGAATTTCACAACTTATGTAATAAATTAAAAAGTCTCAGAAAAATTTAGGAAAAGAAAACCACATCCTAGAAATAAATATGAATTGGTTATTGCATTGAAAGAAGAATGGGTAAAAATTGATCCTGAAATAGTAAAGAAATTATTTGATAGTATGCCTAGAAGAACTGTTATTGAAATCCAACAATAATTTTATTGTGTAAACTATTTAATAATAAAAAATCTGCAGAATACAAATTCTTAAAAACTTTTACATTTTATCGAGTTATTTAGTCTACACTTAACCATTTTAATACTTAATAGTACAAACCATCATTCAACAGAGTTTTTCTAAGCTCAAAGTGTTCATAGATATTACAAGATTTTTACAAAGCTTTTAAAGCGTGCGCTAAGCCTGGTTCGTTATTTTTCAATTATGATCATCAGGTGATTGGGTATTTTGTGTGCACTTTTTTACTACGCCAATTAGATTGTCTAATAAAAATGATTGGGCTGGCAATTTTGTTCGAAATGATTATTTGCGGAAATTTTCAAAAAAAAAATTATGCAACAAGGAAAAGCTTTTAAATACGGGTTAACTCTAACCAACAAAAAAAAACCTATATGATCGAATTTTTCCAGAAACAATTTCCAAATTTAGAAATTATCTTATGATCCTTTGTCACATGATTATATAATACAACATGTAAATTCGGTATAGTAATAATAAAGTCGCACACAACTTCAAACTGTTACAACTCCTCGTCTATCATTTAAAAAAAAAATTTTTTATTTCAAAACAATTTTTTTTTCCTAATTGATTATGTCTTTAGATGATGATCTGCATTGTATTCACCGATTACAATTCATTCTCTATATATAACGGCCCTTCTATTTTTGCTGAAAAAATCCGTTATTATTATAGAAAGAGACCATTATAAACGGTATATGAGATGTATAAACCAATTTTAATTGGGGCCAAATCTCAGTCCGTTATAGAAAGGCCGTTATCATTATAGAAAGTGTGTGAACTGTATTCGGGTGAAAATTCTCAACATTCGATTAAGCCAATTATTGTTGTTGAAACAATTTCAACGCCTAATTAATTGGATAATTGATGAATAATCGGCGAATGTTATTCAACAACCTCTATACATGACAAATCGTCCGAGTTGTATATCAGATATATATACTTATACTAAAATTCGAACCCCAGAAATTTCTTTGCGCGCCAAGCAAAAGGGACACATTGCCAAAATCCCAATTTACGATATCTCAAAAATTTATTTAAGCCAAGCCAAAAGCCAAAAATGTTCTTCAAGAGATCACACACACTAATACCTACTAATACATATAGATGTGACATTAACGCAAAAAGATGCCATTCTCTCCCACACGTATAGTATAATTCATTATGTCATTGTTTGATTATATTCTCAATTTGGAAAATTGATGTAAAATTTTACATCAACCGACATGACCAAAATTGTAAAAAAAGGGACAAAAACACGTGAAATAATAATATTTACATCATAAAAAATAAATAAATATAAATACCTTCACTCTCTCACGAATTTATTATATTAATAAATAAAAAATAATAAAAATATGAGCTATAAAACTTTTATTGTAAAAAAAGTAGCAAAACACGTTTTATCAAATACTCGTTCTAAGCAAAATGCTCAAGATCAAGATACTCAAAACATTATTTCTTCTTCTTCAACTAATCCAAATGCTCATACCAATAATAATGATGTCGGAGAACATGGCGGTGGTGGAGTTGGAGGAAAAAGGAAAAAGAATAAGTGGAAAATACCACCAAATTTGACACAAAAAGAAGCCAAAGTTTTAAAACATTTTAAAAAAAGGGCATACTGTTATGATGTATCATGTTGTAATTGTTGTGGAATACAGATTGGATTGGATCCAATTATAGGTAAAATAAATTCGATTTAATTTAATTAATTAATAACAAATACTACTACTTAATGTTAATAACAAATAAAATAAAGGTATTATACCATTTGTTGGAGATTTTATGGGAACCTGGTTATCTTTGATGTTATTAAAATCAACAAAGGAATTGGATTTACCACATTTTATTAAGATGCAAATGGCAATGAATGTATTAATAGATTTCTTGGTAATTTAACATTTAATATTTATTTAAATATATTATATTTATTTATTACCATATATTTATATTATTTTTTTTTTAGGTGGGGTTGGTTCCGCTCATTGGTGATTTTATAGATTGTATATATAAAGCAAATACCAGAAATTCTGTAATTTTAGAAAATTATTTAGTTGATAGATCAAAAAATAGGTCAGTTGTTATGGAGAATGGGGCGGTGGAAGTTATTAGGGCTACATAACGATTTGTAATAATAATAATATTTATTATCAGATAAAGACAACCATTTGTATTATCGTCAACGTATTTATAATAATATATATATATAAATGCATGTGTGTGTGTATGTATAAACAATAAACAATATATAATAATGATATAACAAATTTAACTTCATATATTAAAAAAAAAATTATCAAAAAAAACCAATATATATATAAATACAATAAATAATGACAAATAAAATATATCATAAAATATATATAATAAAAACAATACGATGACAAAAAGTCTTTTGATATAAATTATGAATTAATGAAAAATAAAAAAATTATATTATATTTATTTTTTTATAAATAAATTTTTTTTTTAAATTGAATTTTTGATCGATCAAACTACTACCAACCAAAACCACCACCACCACCTCCTCCTCCAACACCAAATGAATTATTATTACTATTATTTTGTGAAAATTGTATTTCATTGAGAGTTTTTGGTTTGTTTAAGGAATTATTGTTATTAGCAGGTTGTTGAATTTGAAATGGATTTTTACTAAATTGATTACTACTGATACTTCCACTATCACTAAAATCAATAAGTGTATTATTATTAGTAAGAGTGGATGATTGTTGAGAATTCGAATATGGACTTAATGAAAGACTGCTAGAGCTTTCAGCTGGGTAAAATGGATTTGATTGATTTGCAATATTGCCAGTTGAATTGGATTTTCTGGGTATTAGAGGATCCGAAGAATTTGCAAATCCTGTTCCGCTATTTTAGTGAAATAAAAAGTTGTTTGATTTTTTAATTATCCAAAACATTTTTTATATTTTAAAAATTTTTTAAAAAAAAAAAAAATAATAATAAACTTACACCGGAACTCGAAGATTTCCAATATTACCAAATGTGTCCATTCCATCTCTAATAAAATATAATCGATTATATTAGGTGACCGATAACAATAACAACATAATAAATTTGATGATAATAAATATCCATTGTTATTAATTTCTTACTGTCTGTTTCCAAGAGCATTTGCCAAACTTGCATACTTTTCATCTTGTGGTTTGACAGGCTATTGTTAAATGTTAACAAAACGATATTAAACTAAAAAACTTTTTTTAACGGTTAATTATTATTAATTTATAAAAATAATCAATTACCATTATATTATTATTATTAGAAAATGATGAATTTAACGATGATGTGTTATTTATTAAATTTGGGGAACTAACTCCAACATTACTAAATGATCCCATACTATTATTTCCAAATGAAAGTTGTTGTTGTAGCTGCAATTGTTGTTGTTGTTGTTGTTGTTGAGCAAATGGATTATTTGAACCAATTGAAGAATTGCTTGTTTGAAGTCCAAACTGTGATAAATGCTGTTGGTTATAAGTATCAGTAAGCAATGATTGTTGCTGCTGTTGTATTAGGTTTGGATTGCCAATAAATTGTGACTGACTCATATATGGAATTGCAGTTTGTTGATTATCAATCGAATCAAAAAAATCAATGGTTTTATTGTCTGTATTACTAGAACTTCCAAATTGAGAATTGTTTCCAAAGAGATCTGTTTGTTGTGAAAATGGATTATTGCCACTTGGTCTATACATGCATGTGTGCGAGTATGTGTAAGCGTATGTATTAAATAATTAAAATAGATCATTTATAAAATCTCCTACTATTAAATTGATATTTACCCAAGATCAAGAAGACTCATTTCAAGTTTTTTATTCAATTCCTCTTGCCTTCGTTCTTCTTCCTCCTTACTTAACCTTAATGCTTTTGCCAATTCTTCATCATCCTCACTATAAAATATATTTTAAAAAATCAATCAATATATGTAATATTATTTACACAAATATCTCTATATATCAGAGAAAATTTTTATACCTTTCTTTTAATCTTCTCTCATAATCTTGTGCAGACCTTTTGCTTTCTTCAATTGCCTTTCTTAAATCAGCCTCTTCATCAAAATAACTAGGACGTTCATATGAAGATGCGCTATCGTTATAACTTCTATCTGTCAAGGGATCATCATTGCCTGTCAATCTTCGTCTCAATTCAGTACGTTGTTTTCTTTCATGCTGTAAACGTTCATCATCCTGAAGGAGTTCAGTGATCTCCTTGGCCCTTTGTCGAACTAAATAAATTATAAAATAAAAAATTATTCATTCGTTTGTTGCATTTAATACAGTTTAAATAATAATAATTTTTTGTACCATTCTGGCCCTGATCTTTCAGATCATCGTCAATGTATTGGAATTCTCTTAAAGTTTTTACCACATATAAATTTTCTTTTGCGTATGAAACAACGTCCTGGGACCCTACATGAAGACAGTAATCTAATAGAACAAGTGCCTATAATAAAAATAAATACGAGTATACACTTTTAGATTGATATAATTGCTTTTTCATTAAAAAAATTTTTTTTGAAGAATATAACTTACTTTGAAAACATGCCTCCAATTTTTACCATGATCGTTTAACCTTTTGTCAACCATTTCCATAATTTCTATAAATTCATGACTAATTTAATTTAATTTAATTTATGTGAGTATTTATTAAAAAAAATAGGAAAAATAATTTTCTTCAAATCAATTATTAAGAAAAAGAAAAAAGAGCGTACTGATTAAATGTAGCTTGAGCAATTTCAGCCATTAATGTACTATTTGGACCCCATGGATCGTTCGAAGTTGCAGATCTAACCTTGGCTTGGATATCTGAATATCCTTTAGTGTAATTTTTTCTATAAATCAATGTGAGTATTTACTTAGTTGGAATCAAAAGATGCTTTAAAAGTCATAATAATAATTTATAGTTTTTCCATTTTATTCTTCTTCTCATTGTCATTATCAATATAACTTACAATGTGCGAACGGCACCTTTTGCTTTATATTTTGACATTTGATTTCTTATTTTATTTAAAGATTGTTATTCTTGTTTTGTGAAAAAAAAATTTTTTGAATAATTTTAATTTTTTATTGTAATTCGAAAAGCGTAAACTCAGAGTAATTTATTTATATCTCAAGTCACATGTGTGTAACATTACCAAATAAATTACTGAAAAATAAAAAGCCAAGAGTTGAAAGGTGCGGCGAGTTTATTTTATAAATTGTGCTTATTTAAATATAAAGATTTCACTGCTTGTTATAAATTCAAATGCAATAAAAATATAATAAGTACGCCTTGTTCCGATATTTAGTACAATTTTTATGAAAATCAAGGAAAATAAATATCGAGAACCAATTACGACCAATCTTAAAAGTTCATTATGAAAAAAATTATTTCATTATTTATAGTCATCGACCGAATCACAAACAATAAAAATTAAATTTCCCCATTTTTTATAATATCATAATTTATAACATTTTGGGTTCACCTTTAGTAAAAAACTTTTAAAAAATATGAAAATATGTTTCACGTTGTGAAACACTAAATCAATTGTACTATTGTTAATAGGGAATGAATGTCTCAACATTTTCAACATACTAAATAGTGCCTAATTTTTTATAAAATACTCTTCCCGTAATGGCATAACATTATTAAGTTGCTTATTTGGATCAAAATTAGAATTAATCATAAGAGATTAACACAAGTCACCTCACCATCGGCCATATGCTTTTCCAATATCTTCTTCAAACGTTCTACTAAATCTAAAATGAAGACGCATTTTAATTTGTAAAAATTCCCTTCAGAGGATAAACTAAGATCATACCATTTCCACTCGGGTTTTTTAATGCACTGACATTATCAGCTAATATTTTAGGGGGGGCAGCAGAATCTTAGGTTACGCATCATATTGTAATAGTGAAATAATACTCGATATTTATAAAATTTATTTACAAAATTCTTATATACATTCTACGTAAATGCTATATATAGCTGTATAATCGATCATTTTTTATTTGATATATATACATTCCCTTAAATGCATTTTGTCAAAAAGAGGTCAAGGGCCCTCGAGTTTGTTCTTTAAGCAGAATGCATTGCTCGTTTATGATTCGTTAAATAAGTAAGAGTTGGAAAGTATTTATTACACTCGGAACAACAAAGATACAAATAGGTTGTTGTTTGGTCAAGGGATGGGCAATGCAATAAAAGTCGAACGCGGTATAAAACTCTACAGCACATTTTATAAATGGTCATGATTGTTGTACAGCAATAATCAGCATAATAGTTTGATTTATTAATATTAATAAATCTAATTTATCGGAGGAAATATTGTGATTCTTTTTCTTCATTTGTAAAAAAGCCAAATAATCTATGTACACGTGATCAAGATATCTTACCTTGGGGTAAGCGCCTCTATTAAAATGATAATGTCAGCGCCTTTATTAAATACAAAGCACAATTTCCATCTGCTAAAGTGTCGACTACTGTGTTTCAACATCATTTAATTGCGTTGATTCATTTTTTTTTTTTTAAAGAAATACAATTTGCAAGAGAGGACTATCAAAACCTGTTTGCATGTTGTGAAAAAAGAAATAATCGCCTTCGAAATTCGTTCAACAAGATATTGATTTGACCGAAAGATAATCCACTGTAGAAAAAATTGCTGATATCACTGAAGTTAAAGGCTTTGAAAAATAAAAAAATAATTATATTAATATTGAAAAAGAAGAAATGCAGCAATAAAACCTAAGCCACAAGATTCTTTAATGGTAACATAAAATAATTTTTTGATCACGATCTTGCATTCTTATTGGCCAATTTAACGATCTGCAATGTAAAAATAGTCGATCGACCAACTTTTAAGGAAGATTTTACGAAAGCCACAACAACCGAATTTTTAT